AAATTAAAACAAGCATATTTTCTTATCTAAATTTAGACAAAACATGTTAAAACCACTATTGTAACATGCGAAATCGAGAACCCGACTGCTAGACATGAAAAAATTGAGTCGCCACCAATCTTTTTTATCTAGATGCGATTGGCCACCTATTAAATTTGTTCTATTTAACAAAGTTTTAAATCGATTTTAGATTTATCTAAAGAATAACAAATTAATCTACGTATTTTATTTTTAGAGTTGAGTGTGGGAGTATGGTTACGCACAATGAAGGATTAATATCCCCATGACGCCTGTTCTACGAATGGTACCATTTAATTATATGGTATCCTAAACTATTGATATTATTCTTATGTTTCCTTAATTATTATTTATTTATTTTATTTTTTATTCTATTAACAAATTAAAATATTTTATTTGGTCTTTCGAGTATGACGTACGCATGATGCAATTATGAAATGCTTGGGATAAAATCTAGATAATGCCAAACAAAAACCTTTTATTAAGGATAGTTCCCAAATTCATTCATCATACTAATGGGATCCAGAGATACTCTTTCACCTAAGAAAATACTCAGGAAACTCACATTCGTAAATTTACTAGGTAAATCCCATCATCGAGATAGTCGTTTGTAGGCAAAAATAATATTTTTGTGGATACAAATCCTTCATATGAGTAGAAACCTTTAATTAAGGATGTGTTCCGAGCCATCCCTTCAGATTAGTGGGACTTAAAGGTATCCTTTCACTTAGAGAATTTTTTGAAAGAAATCACCTTTGCAAGCTCCCACGAAAAGTCCTATCATCAAGGTTTTAGCTTGTGTACATAATACGTCTACATGCCATGACATTCAACGGTGCAATGATGATATGTGCTACATCTATAAATTTTAATACTTGTTTCTTAACCATCACATAACTCCTATGTTATTTCTTTCTAATTTCCTTTTTATTCTTTTTCTTTATAGACATATATATTATGAATTATATTTTTTATGTTGGCAAATTAATGGTTAAACGTGATTTTCCTGACCTAATTGGATCCATTATTAATACCACCTTGGGTTCTCCTCTTTGTATGTAACATCAATTTTGTTCAGCTTCAAAAGTCATAAATTTCAAATCAATCTTTAAAAAATAACAATAAATATTTTTTTATATTCTTCTTTTATCTTTCAGCAATTCATAATATTATAAGAGAAATTATATTTTTTTTCACATTCATCTTTTTTTAATTTGATTCAATTTTTTTCTCTGGATTTATTAAATACCCTTTATAGTAATTTTAATCAAAATTAAAATTTATATAAGCTGTTTTGCCAAACAGATTATTTATAATAAAGAGTTTATAAAAAGTAGATTTATCAAATAGTTTTAACTTAATTTTAAAAGCTATTCTTTTTTATAAGAACTTCAAATAGATTTTAAGCTAAACAAAAGAAAAAGCCAGACTAAACATGCTCTAAGTTAAATGTTAATATTCATCAATTTTCATAAAAAGAATTAATATTCACTAAACTTATACTGCTAGGTTTAATATAAAAGAATTTTTTTTTTATGTTCTTAGGAAAATGTTTTAAACCTTTGAGAGACGTAAAACGTTTTACATAGTCAATGGGTGTTTTTCCTATTTACCTATAAAATGTTTACATTTGAAATAAATTTTTCATTTTCTAAACAAGTATAAGTCATGAAAACATTTTGCAAAAAATATTTTACGTCAAAACAAATGGATCTTTATTAAGCTCAAAATTCTCTTACTAATATGTGATTTGTGACATTCTACCATATCCAATTACATAATGCTCTCATTGTACCGACTCTTTCACTCATAGATAAAGAGACTTACTTTGATTCAAGTCTACCTTGATCTTGATATCTCTCATGGGATATCTCACATCAGTGAAGAGTTGAGTCTATTCTGATATCACTTATTATGTACATATATTTTCAATTTAAAAAATATATTTATTAACTGAAAGAAGATCTTTATTTATATGAAACCTTTGGATGTTATCAAATTGTTTGAGCAAAAGAATGGTGTTGATAAATTGCCTCCCTTAGATTTCATGTGTCTAATCTTACTTTGCTTTAAGCTTAGCTTTGTATGATATAAGCCCAAGTTTCAAGTTATTGATTGAATTATTTATATATTTAAAACTTATCTCATCTCTTGCTAAAATCAAAACATAACATAACAAGGTGGACACTTTCATTCCATCCTCTCCAAAAGAAGTTTGCTGGATATGTCAATATGCTTTTTAGAAGTTAGGATTGGAGCCCATATATCTTAACATTGCACCATGGGCTCATTGCTTGGCTCGATGAGCCCAATTCATCGCGCAAAATGCCGTTGGAGAACGATACTCTTTCTGAGTATATTTACCTTGCTTGTCATGGACATCATAAATCTCTGCCTCTACCTTGATCATTAAACCAGGTTTGATGAATTTCCGCTTCCAATAAATTCTTTCACCAACTAATTGCATGTTTAAATCAATTCAATGTTAAAGTTGTTGGAAACAGGGTTCCTGGAACAACAGCCATGTTATACCAAGTGAGAAGAAAATTGTGGGTTAGATTGAGAAAGTAACTTTAAGGGAGAACAGCAATTTCCTATCATTGGTAGTAGAAAACCCAATGTCCAAAACCTACAAAAATGTTAACAAGATGAGTGTATTGGTCATTGCTATTCATGTTCTTCCATGGAAACCCAAACTGGCATGTCAACTTCCACCTTTAAGTGGAATTCATCAAGCTCCATGTGTTTGGAAAACCTTATTTAATTAAGGTTTTCCAAAAAGGTCCATTGCTACTGCAATCATAGATCAATGAGCTTGAATGGTTGTCTTGATTTCATTGTCTCTGTAAACATAATAATAGCAATTATACAAATTATATAAATTTTTTTCAAAAAAAATTTTATAGATTATAAGTTAAATTAATAAGATTATAATATATGAAATTTAGATTAATTTTGTCATAATTTATATTAACTTATAAGATATTATTTATTATGATCCATTAGGTCTCATTGTTTAATCCACTAACCTACAAGATGTTGTTCGTTTTGGCTCATTAAATCTTACTGTTTTTTTTCACAAAATACATCTTGTTAAATAAAAGTTGTATGAATTAACTGATATTAAATTTATGACTCTCTTTTACTACCATGACACATGTCATCGCTATCACCAATTTGACAACTTAAAGTTGTTCCAATTTCCATTTGGGCAATTGGTATTGGATACTACATTTTGTAACAAATCAATATCACTATATTCGTATGATTTCAAACATAGGAAGGAAAAAAAGAAAGAAAGGCATTCTTGTAATTATCAAGTGTTCCTCTTTAATCAAGTCCTTGATCATAAAAGTATGGTTTGATTTGCTGATGATGGATATGGGTGAGTGAAAGTCATTCAAAGCATCAATTCAACATCCCATTCAAACTGCAACTAGGCAACTAGGAAACCGAGAGATGATGACTGCTAAATAAATGAGTTCCACCTAAATCTCAAAGCTTCTGCAAAAACAAATCAAGACCGATGCTGCTAACATTCTTGAAATGTGTTGTTTTCACATGTAGAAATTATTCTATGATGTAAATATGGTTGAATGGAAATTGAAACATTGATGAAGTATGGAGTGTGAAGACGGATTGGGAAAAGCAAATGGCAACCATTTTGGGTGAGACCAAGAGGTCCATATGACAAGAAAACACACTTTTGAGTGAGACCAAGGATGAAGTTCTAGCAGTAACCCAGATTCCAGAGGTTCAAATGTCATTTAATCCACAATAATGCTGGACGTTGACATCTATTTAAACATATTTAATCAAGGTAGTTCCTGCATTATGATTATCCTTGGTGTCACACATTAAATAATGGAAGCCTGGAGTCATGGCTCTTCAGTTTCAAATACCCAATCATGCCCTGCATTTGGTGTTGCTGACTGCTGATATTCACCCATACATGATACAACAAAAAAGGAAAAAAAAAAAGAAAGAAAAGAAAAGGGTATCTCTAACTGCAACAACTTTGGCCGCATCCTAGAAATCATCCCCATCTATCTTCCATCATTCATGCTTCGGGCCACGAGAATCCAAAGTGTTCTCATCTTTCATATGAAAGTTTAGAATAAACAAAAGGCAAAAAGGGAGCAGGGAGCTGTAGAGGTAGCCGTTTATGTATTTTCTTTGGGCTTTGCTTTATAGTAGTTTGCAATACTTTTTTCCTTGTCATCTGCTGCTGCTGTAAGCTGTATACAAATATTATAAAATAAAATAAAGATAAAAACAACATTATTAAAATCACTGAGTTAGGAGCAATGTCAACATAGCTGGCTGGTGGGGATAGCAACCCCACAGCTTTGAATCTCTCTCACTTATTCTTTCTTTATTGCATACTTATACATTTGTTTGCTCTCTGTTTCATCATTATATACAAGTCAGTGTGCTTGTCCCTTTTTTTTCCCTGTTTTCATATACTATATGGATAAAAAGAATAAAAAAATAATCCTTGGTTAGAACCAATAGAGTATATCGTTCGTAGTAGAATACTTTGTTATCAGAAATAAGAGTAAAGTTTTTGGGGTATTGGGTGTAATTCCACTGCTGTAAATGCCATCTGTTGTTGGATGTAAAAATTATGAACCAGTGAGTGTGTGGGGGTGGGGGTGTTACAGCCAAGATGCCTTGTACAGGGCATACCAAATAAGGCCATATCAACTTGCAGTACCAGACAACCATGATACTGCTTTACAGCCCACAAAAACCAAAAACCAAAAAGGAAAACACATCAAATTCAAATCAAAACAAAGAAAGAATTGCTTTACCACCAAAAGAAAAGAAATTCCTTCTTTCGTTTCTTTCTTGTTTATATTGTTTATCAGTAATCTCTTGTGCTTCAAAACTTAGAACTTTTTTCGGGTTGTTTGGCTGTTCTGAAACATCAATCAAAAGAAAGAATGAAATGGTAGATTT